TGGCCAGCAGGAGAGTTGTGAGGTTCGAACTCCAGCAACCTGAGGCTGACAGCTTTGTGGAAGCAGCCACTTAAAGGACTGAGCTAGGGCCAGGCCCCCCTGTCCTCTTTGAATTTTATACTTAGCAATACCTTTGAAAACTAAAAAGTAAGACTTTCTAGTTATACAAACTTGAAATATTTTAATACTTCCAGAAATAACATATAGGAAATAACAAAGAATAGAATTCAAAAGGCAAGAGAAGTTGCAGTATGTTCTTAAATGAACAATAAAGAGCTCTCAAAATGACAGTTATGCAGGACTATATAAAATATATTAGATGAACCCTTACTTAAAGGTCATTGCAGATTTCTATGAAACAGTACCAATCTTATGTTGAGTTATACACTTTTTTTTCATATATATATGTGTGTGTGTATGAAACACAGGGAAGAAGTAATGTAAAGTCAACAGAAAATGGAAATACACTTTTTAAAGTTTCTAATACTAGGAGAAGATATCATACGATGTCTTTTGTAAGTCAAAGATATGGTATAAATCTTAGAACAAAAATTAAGATTAAGCAATATTCAGAAAATTAAATATTAATTAAAAATTAAATGTTTCACAACAATTGAACTAAGAAAAAGTTTTCATGATAGCAAAGAAGTACTAAGAGTAAAACATAAGATAAATACTGGAACAGCAAATAAATGACCAGCACTTCTAACAGTTTGAGGATAGGACATCGCACAAAGTTCTAGTGTGTTGTGGACATGCATAATGACCATGACAGTTACTCTTAACCAGAAATTCTGCAAATCTGCCTGCCTGGACTTTTTTGTAAGCTTCATTACATATTCATTCAATCAATGATCAGCCTTATCTTCAGTGTCTCCCCATCAGAGTAGGAGGTAGAGCTTTTGTTCCAACCTTCTAATCAGTCCAAGGCCTTTGGAGACTGGCCAACATCCTAAAGCTACCTAGAGACTCTCAGCCATTACCTAACTCACTAGCATACAAGAGGGCATAGCACTCTGGAGACCCCAAAGATTTTAGAAACTGCACACCAGGTACCGGGATGAGACCAAATCCATACCTTTCCTAATACCACCATACCTTGCAACCATTTATGTAATACTCTAAAAAGCAACACTGATCCATACAGCAGATCAAATGGCTCCTTATGCTCACTTACGGCACAAAAGAACTTTCTGTGTGGAATGGAAATGTACATTATTATCTTGGATTACACCGGTGGGCTTATACCAGTAATGGTGAACTTTTAGGGTTTTCATCAAGGAGCCTGCTGTAGCAGATGTTACACAGGTTCACCAGTGAAAGTACAGACCAAAGCATAAACTTGAAAACTGTTTTCTGTATATAATTTACACCTCAATAAAGGCGTTCTAAAAACATTTTTTAAGCTCCTAGCTACAAATACTCATATATACATACCTCTATCTGCTGCTGTTCCATTTTAGTCAGTAAGAATTTGGAGTAGATATTGCTCTTTTCAAGCAAATGTTGAAGTCTCCGATACCGAATCTCCATGGACTCTCGGTCCCAAGACAGGCGAGCCTATCCAAAGAGAAATTTCCTGTAATTAATCTGATTTTTTGTTGAAGGCTTAATAAGAATGGCTAAACATTCTTTGAGGTTAAAATACTTCCTAAAAATAACAAAAAAAAGATTCTTACAAGATTAACTTACTAAAGGTAGTTTCTTTCTTTCTTTCTTTTTTTTTTGTAGTTTATTTCTTTAAAAATAGAACAAATTGGGGCCAGGGAGATGGCTCAGTGGAATAAGTGCTTCCCTGGCAAGCGCAAGGGCCTGAGTTCAATCCCCGGTTCCACAAGAAAAAAAATGAAAATAGAATAAATGAATTTAAAAGGAAAAAAAAAACAACTCATTAGCTAGCAGGCTAGTGTATCTATTTTTAGAATTTTAAAACTATGTTTTAAAACATTCAACTTACTGATTTCTTATCCCCCTCCCTAGTACTGTTTGCTCCCAAGCTTTGAGCTGTATCTTTTAGCTTTGCTTTCCATAGTACCTTAATCTTTCACTTATATTTATTACAAACCTGCTTTCTGTATTACCATAAACAACATGTATTTGTCCAGTAATTTCTATGTGTTTAAAATAGTCTACTGGCAGAGAAGGAAACTACTTTAAAGTCACACTGACAGAAAAGATAAAATAGTTTAAAAGAATAATAACTGAAGGCACAGAAAACACATCAACTGACAATTCCATCCATGGAAATCACTGCAGAAGGCTAAGGCGAGTCAGGGAGAGCTGCATTTATCTACTACAGCTGTGGTGTGTGCAACTCGGCTTTCTCCTAAGAAAGGCTGTGCATGTACGCATGAGCACACACACACACACAAGGAGATGTGCTACTTACCTCAGGACAGTGCTAAGAACTAAATTCGTAATTTCAAATGAGAGGAATCTCAGCACTTGTTTATCATGCAGCAGGCCAAGTTGTGTCCCAGGAGGAGGAATGGACAGGACACAGATGAGAAGCAGGTAAGAATTTATCTCCAAAATGCTAAATAGAATCCCTCCTCCATCTTGTAAACTATTCTTGGGTGGTTTTTGTTAATTTAGCTTGTGATCGCTAAAACGTCATGCTTATGTACACGTTTTCCTAAATGTCACTCCGGTTTTCTTTCAATGTAATTTCTATTGCAAAACCTATCACAACCGTGCCAGCCAGATAGCTCAGTGAACTAAGGCGCCTGCTTAGGCAGAGTTCAGCATTTGAGAGGCTGAAAACAGGAGAATCACCCAGTCCAATCTATGTATTGAGACCCTGTAGACTCTGCACTAAATACATTAAAGAAAAAGAAAAAAAGTCTGTAACAGTTAAATGCCTAAAAAAGTAATATATGCTCACTATAGAAAAGTTACCGTCAAAAAATACATTAGTCATCAAGCGCAGCAGCATGTGCCTCTGACCTCAGCACTCTAGAAGACTGAGGCAAGAGAGGATCACAAATTCAAAGCCCAGCCTGGGCAATTAAGCACCCCAGTTTCAAAACTAAAGAAGAGTTAGAGAATGAAACTCTTAACATATTGGGGATTTAATTTAGATATAGCTATCAGTACTTTATTTTTTTTTTAAATTTATTTATTTATTTATTTATTTTGTGTGTGTGTGGCCAGCTCAGCCCACCAGAGGGTGGGGCTGGCTGGCATGTGGTGCTGGGGATCGAACCACGGTTCCTGTGCTTTTGCTTAGCTTAGCTTGTTCTAAGTAGGTGCTTTAGACCACTGAGCCATCTCACCAGCCCCTATCAGTACTTTAAATCCTTAGAATAAACTACCATTTGCTAAAGGCAATTAAAGCTTTAAGATGCCATTATAGAATATATAATTAAACCACACCAATGGTTAATCATCAAACCCAACCTGCAATCCTTCTAGGCTTTCCTCCCTTCACCACCACTGTTGTGGCACTGGGCTTGAAGTGAGGCCTGCCCCTAACTTACCACAGTCCCAGCCCCTGACTTCCTGAGACAGGGTCTTGTCAGCTAAGCAGCTAAATCACCTAGGCTGGGCTCCAATTGCAGTGGTACTGTAACGGCCTCCCAGGGTGCTGGGATTATTATATACAAATAACATCTCTCTGACTCAGCAGTTTGTCATACAATAGCAAACATACTGTGGAAAGCACTGACTGGATGGAACACATACAGTGTTAGAATTCACCAGTACACAAAGAACATTTAGGGTTGAAATCTCCACTGCCTACCCCAACAGCTTTTAACATAACCAGCTCCAGACGTTTCGAAATTCTATTTTAGTTTATTCGCAATGTTGAACTGTCTGAATCACTTATTTCCAAGAAACCTCAGCAACTGTAACCTTCCTCCTCACTATCTCCAAGGCAACAATGCTGCTGCTCTTAAATCTAACAATGACTTCTTTTAAAAGGAAATGCAGGTGAAAAGTCATACAAAAAAACTGAATCACAAAGTCCATCTCCAGGCTTTTCACAAAAGTTAAAGGCTTTTCATCAAGGAATTTAAGCCAATTCTTCCTCTTTGTATTTCTAAATATATGCCCATAAATATGCTGTTCCCTTTGCAGTTTTTTAAATTTCTTGACCTCCAAGGAAATATTTTTAAATCTCAAATAGGGTCTCTTTAAAAGAACTTTCTAGTCACCTTAGCAGTGACTTTATAACTTAAGAGCAAAAATTCATTAAATCTTTCACTATCTACACATAACGACTCAAGTAATAGGCCACAACTCTATTTTTTTAGAATACTACACATTTGTATTAATAACAAGATGAGCTATATACATTTTTAATGTAACTATTTAGTGGATTTAAAATTACTCAATTGCTAGGCATGACCCTGTCTCAAAACAAAAAATTTAAAAGGGCTCAGAATGCAGTTCAGTGCAGAGGTGCTAGGTTATCAGTACTACAAAAAAATAAAAGTTACTCTTTAGCTCTATGATGCTGCATAATTTATTTTTAATTTAAAAAAAAATTTTAGAATATTTTACTTTGGTACAAGGTCTCACTACACAGCTCAGACTCGTAGTGATCTTCGCGTCTCAGCCTCCTCGGCCATAAATAAGGATAAATTAAAGACTTTTATAAGTAAATGGATGCAACTTGAACCTATACTTAAAAGTGAAATAAACCAGACGCACACATTTAAATATATTGTCTCCCTAGTGTGAGAAGCTGACAGAGTAAATAAGATCCAAAATGTACAATAGATACTGTGCAACAGAACACTGCTCAAAGGAGAAACTGGAATGGGGAAAAAAAGGGAAAAGCAGAAAAACCAAAACAACCAAACAATAAAAACAACCATTAGTTACACTACTAAATTCTTAATTCACTGAAAAGAAAGTTTTGGGCTAATACGGTCTGGACAATTAAACGTATAACTAGAACTGAGTAATTTAAACTGAGTAATTAATTTAAAGGTAACAATACACAATGTACTAACTGTTGTTACTCTATTATCTTGCTTTAAAATTTTAAAAAAGGAAAACAAAATTTAAAAAGTAAAGTCTTAGTTTACTTATTTATTTTTAAATCCTTTATCTATTTACTCGGTGCAGGATCTCACTAGGCAGCTCAGACTCAGGATGAGCAGCCCGGCTCTGGGCTTACAGGTGTGCGCAGCCTCGCCGGCTCCGCCATGGCATGCAGCACCGCGTATCAAACCCCCGTCCTTGTGCTGGCAGGCAGCCACTTAGACCTCCAAGCTATCTCCCCACTTTCAATGAGAAAGAAAAGGTCAATCAATCGCACTAATGAAATAATATAACAGCGATTTGTATTTTCCACGATATAAAAAGTAACCTGTTATATACTCAAATCTGCATACATTCATTCTCCAATGTCGAGCCAGCAGTGACCATCCCAGGCACTCCCCAAGGTTCTACGCCAGTTACCAGCCACCCAAGTCCCTGATTGGTGTGGCACTCACAGCATGAGCACCTGGCGCTTCTCCTGATGCCTGGCCATACGTGGAGGTGAGCTGCAAGCCATTCGCTTATGTGCAAAAGGAACTTTCCAGAAACAGAAAACAAAACTTTTAACAACTGCTTACCTCTGGGCATAAATATCAAATGGGAAGGCTAAGAAAAGTAGTCCTACCTGCCCTCCATACAGCTGTGTATTGTTTGTATTTTTTTTTACAGCAAATATATATTTATATGTTACCTTTGTAGCTTTAAAAGTTCATTTCCATTAAAAAAAAAATTAAAAAAGGAAATTAAAAGAAAAGGTCTGCCACTTAAGTGGAAAGCAACCAAACTTGGATGATGTCACCAGATCTGGATTCTAGCCCAACCTCCAACTTTCTGTCTAGTACACTGTGACTACAGGTTTTAAAGATCACTGATGGGAGACCAAACACCGACCAAACATACCGCTAAAGTAGTACTTTTAAAAGGACATAAGAATGACAAAGGAAAGTAACTGGTACTAACTTTGAAAAAAGCTTATGGCCGAACAAGAAGGCTGAAATGCTCACGAAGAGATCATTTTAGGTACTGCACGAATCGTAGAACTCATATTCAACGCACGTGCGAAGATTTCAAAATGAGAGCATCTGCAAACATTCTCAAAGTAAGTACCAAAGCTGTTTTAAAGCTTATGAACTAAACGAAAAGAAGGAACGCAAAGCACACGTCCGGGGAAGCCTCGGGTCAGACGAGAAAGCAGCCGCGCTCGCGGGATCCTGCATTACCTTTTCCAGCATCCTGCGCTCGCGTTCGAGTCCCGCGGCCTCGAGCTGCTGCTCCTCCTGCAGCATGGCTGGGGTAATCACCACAGTCTCGGGCTGCTCGGCCATTTCTGCAGCTAGCGACCCTGCGGGGGAAGAGCCTTCAAGTGCGACTTAGAGGTCCCCAAAGTCTCAGCCTCGAGCGCCAGCGGGGTCTGCGGGCCGGGCGCCCGCGCCACCTCACGGAAGACGCTGGTATCCGCGTCGCCTCCAACTTTCCCGGACCCGGTCGTAAGTCAGGATGCTCGCGAAAACGCAGCTCGTCGTCTCCAACGCTGCACCCCGCAGAGGCGCCCGCGCCCTCCGCCCGGCCCCGG